TCTGAGTCCCTTTTCTCTTCTCAGATGGTATTTAGCAGGTAGATGGGCAGGGCAAATTCTCTTAATATGAAGTTGCAAAGAATTGATGAGTTTTTAACAACGTGGATTTGGGGGTGTAAAAAAATTCTCAATGCACACACTCGGGGACTTCACCCTCTTGTTACTTGCATGGAGTCGCAGCAGACAGATGGTGACCTTCAAAATTATCCCTAAAACTTCATCTTTCTATCTAAGAGTTTACTGAGATCTGAAGAATTTTCACCAGCCCGGAAACTACTTCTGGTACTCAATCTCTCCCGCCCCTTTAAAACCCCCTCTCTACTACAGTAACCGCCCTAACATGCTTTGGCCTCCAGTTTAATTCATAGGAAATAGCTGTAACTCTTGACATCACCTCCGCAGACCACCAGGACTCCAGTCCAGGACACCTTACTTAGGAAGCTGGTTTTCGAGCACCGATTCTGAGACGTAAAGGAAAAGTCTGGGGCATCCGGGTGGATTTCCGGGCTTCCATCTCCCTCCCTCAACTGGCTGATAATTTTCTGCTCCGGCTCTCCCTCTTGACCTCCGCCCAGGTCCTCTCGCCTCCCCTCTCCTGCCCTTCCCCGTAAACCTCCCGAAGTCGTGAGAAAACAAATCCCTTGGCACTAAATTCAGTCTTATCCCCTTGGATAAGACTGTAGTGGGGGAAAGAAGGATCTTTCTAAAGGAACAATTAACTAGCTTTGAATAACATGGTCAGCTAGATGAGTTAAGTAGCCCTGAGTTTCCGAGAGCCAGGGCGCCCCCCTGGTGCTTTGCTAGATTTGGGGTAGATCAGGTAGATTTCAACCCAATCGCCCAGGACCAGGACGTGCGAAAGAATTCGGCTTGCTCGAGAATCTGATACATTTAAAGAAGGCTTTGCCAAATGGAGGGTTCTGGGCATACTTTGGCCCAATCTCTTAGTCAGCACATTGCACTCGCAGGTTCCAACCTGGGCTCCAGGCAAAACTCAGTTAAAAGTTGCCCTTCCTGATCATTTAGGAGTTGGGTGGACGGGTGGGGGAAGTGCAGGGAGAGTTTCATTTGAAAAGGGTTGCCGATTTTGAGAAATCATAGTAAATAACTCTAGAAGCACAATTTGAAAAGGAGGGTACAAATTTCTGACCTCGCTTGACCGAACTGCTCCCAGCAATCAGCTTCGGAACCTCTCTTGCTCAGCACCGACCTGAGGTTTGTGGCTTTGCCGCTGCCTGCCTGGAATGTGCAATTCTATCTCGGCTGGGAACGGAGCAACAGACCGCACAGAACACTGCCTTTCAGGCTGCCGTCTGCCGGTGACGAATACCGGCAACGCTGGTGACAGAAACCACCACCTGAGCTCAGCAACGCAGGCGAGCAAGCTCTGCGCGCAGCAGAGAATTCTTGCTAATTCACCCAGATTGTTTTAACTGGTTAATAAAGTAATTGGCACTCAACAAAACCAAGTTCGCAGTAGGAGTCCTAGGCAATAAAATAAGAACCACAACTAAAGGTTTGTTATTAACAGCTGCTTTTATTATCACTGCTTAGTATTTTTAAAGTAAAAAAAGGGGGGAGGGGAGAAAAAGGTAATCATGTTCTACCCAATGGAATATGGAGATTTCTCTTTCTCTGAAATGAGAGTGCAGATTCACTTGATTCATCCCCAGAAAACCACCAACAACTGAGAGACAAATGAGCTCTAAACAACCACACCACATTCCCAGTGAAATATAAATGCTTAATCCTGACTCCTTTTAAACCCATATAATTTTGTCTGACCCTTGGAAGTGATTAAAGATACCAATAGTTTATATAGCCTTGCTCTACATGCTTAGAGACCACATATAAAAAGTAAAAAGGAGAAATAGGCTACACATACAAATATTCTCTATACCTATTTCCTAGAGCTGAATAAACTTGTTCATGTTTTATTTTACCTCCAAATTATGTGTTTGTGGAGATCAGAAAATATAAATTCTTTGGTTATATTTTTTTCCATCTGAATATTCATTTCTGGCAGCACAATTATTCTACTCTTTCAAACCCAGTTCTGGTGTGGGCTAACACAGAGCATCACCCGTCTGAGAATAAATTACCAGCCATATTCATAGCTCAAGGAAAGCTGATCAAAGCCCTCTTTCCTTCACAATCTTGTTTAGGAAAAAGCTTTCTCACTGTACATAATTTCTCAAAGAACCAACTTAAAATTCACTTATAACTTGTCAGAGACTGTTAGGGAATAAGCACATTTTAAATGTGTAATTTTACTTTTCAATTACAATTAAAACTGAATTTGATTTTTTGGAAAGTAGCTTGGTTTCATGTTTTTGTTCAAGAATCTTTATCTGGCATTAAGTTTGATGTGGAATGTTTAATTTTAATTAAAGCAGAAAAGGAAAGTAACAGCTCACCAAAAAAAAAAAAACCCACAGGCATTTAAAAGCCCATCAGGAATCTTGGGTGGGAATTGTACAGATGTGCACGTGGACAGATGCCACAGCTTATTAAATCTCAGCATCTCTATGGTAGTCAGATACTGGCCCGGGTGATCTATACTATACTTATCTACACCTCCTTCTCCTCTCTTTAACCAGGGATTCACACCACTGCTGTTATGAAGGATACATTTTTGACCTAACAATATACAAAGGTCAAAATGAGTCAAAATTTGACACAGGAGTGTCTAATCCCCCCTTTGAACACAAGAGGTCGCTCCTGGGATCAAGTACTCTGGAAAAATATTGCTAATCATACTTTTGTGTAATCACAGTTTTATGTACTCTATAAAAAACACAATTTTACACATATACTTGATGCACCAAATCCACAGACAGCAATTAACTAAAGAAACAAAGAATTTGTGGTCACATGAGAACACCAGGTAAAGTGAAATAATAATGCCTGCTGTCCTAACTTTGATTTCAATGCAAATAGTATTATGGACAGACACATGGAACTACATAGCATATCCATCATGAAACAACATAATTATTGGATTCCCTCAAATATATCTCTTTGATGCATACATCCTTGCTCCTACCAGTGTAGGAACACGGATAAAGAATGATGTGGAGTAAGAAAAGGGAAACATGTTGTCTTCACTATTAGGGTTACTCATTACTGAAGGTTTTCCCCCAAGCCACATGCCAGATACTCTACTTGGAATTACTATCATCAGCAATTCTTTGCAATAACTTATTGGTTTAATGAGTTAAAATCTCTTCTCTCTCCCTGGCTGGTGTGAAAGAGGAAGGATAGTAAAAGCACTTTCTGCATCTCAAATACAAGTCACTAGACTTATGGCTGTTTCCTGTGTTTAGTTCCATGTTATAAACATGGCATGTGGAAATATGATTGGTTCAAATCTATTTACTTTGTGGCACTAAGAGGTATTTCCCCCCCTAGGGTCAACTTGGTTATTTACTCGGAAAACATGCCCGTATACTGGGACGACTTGCTTCATATAGCTATTATCAGCATCAGCTTTGCAAAAGCGGCGTGACAAAAGGCTCCATGCATATAATAACCGAGACTTAGAAATGTGGGTTAAAACAACACAACTGGTAAACTTATCAACCTCTGTCAATCCAACTTTCCATCCCACACACGCACTCGGACATAATTTATAAAATGGAAGGGAATAGATCTGATTTGACATTTTCCTCAAGAGAAAACAAACAAAAAAAGGAATTCTTGGTAAAGCCCTTGCTAGCTCAGGAAAGAACTCACGCATCTTAGCTTCTCTTTGCGCTCTGAAGAGGCACATCCGTTCAAACCCTAAGGCCGGCCCAAGGCTCACAGGTCTAATGAAGGGTTAGATCTGGTGAAAGATACAAAGGAAGGAGTTTCCTAGCCCACCGGTCTTCTCTCAGCAACAAGACACCGAAATTAAGCCTTCTAGGGCTTGTGTTTGTATGGCTTTTTAGATAAAACTGGCAGTCCCACTAGATAAGGAATAGCTGTTTAGAAGCTTTGGGGGAAGTGTGGGGGTTTTAAGTGGTCTTCCTTTGACTTTGTCTTTGAGAGAGTATTAAGAGATGACGGGAATACGTAAGAAAATTATTGAAAAAAGTTACCGGCAAGATGCAGCCAACAATCTTCTCTCTCCAGGTAGTTTCCCCAGAGAAAATTATTAGATTTCCACACTAGGTGAAGGGAAATGGGTATTTCACTGTTCTTCTGTAACAGACTCCTCTCTACTCGTGCCTTTATACTCACACCGTTTTAAAAAAACTCTAGAGAGGCAAGGAGACTTGCCCTTACAATTATCAAAACACCACCAGGCAACTGCACAAGTTTGCTTAAAAACAAAGGGCAAAATACCAGCAGAGAGAGGAATTAGACGGTACATAATCGCTTTACCAACTTTCGACTATTGGAAGATTATTTCACTCTTTGATTTCGGGTTAGTACACGCTTTAATTCCAGAGTTAAACTGAAAAGCAGACCTTTCTGATCGGAAGGAGAGAGGCAGTCCGCGGAGTCAACTTCGTTTTACCTGCGCGTTTCCAACCTGATTTTGTCCGCTACCGCAGAAGCACCCCTTTCCTCCCATCCCACGTTTTTTGGAGCTCTAAGGTCGAGAATGACGGGGTAATTGGGTAGCAATCAGCGACCAGTTCTCTAAATCTAACCATCCCATTCGGTGTTCTTCCCCTAGCGCGCAGTGGCTAGCCAGTTCCGGAGGGAACACACCCTTCCAAGGCAGCCAAGCCCGGCCAGGTCCGGGGTTGTGCGCTACAGCGTGGGGTCAAACCCAAAAAAGCGGTCGGTTCCAAAGTTTCCCTCTTTTCCTACAGCAACGGAGGGACTTCGTCAACAGGAAGACCTACCCACCAGCCACTCGCCACCGGCGGCAGAAAAGTGAGCCCGCGCTCCATGCAGCCAGCGGACTGCAGGGACCCCAGGAGCGCAGGGCGGAGGAGCAGCGCGACAGGAGGCGAGCGCTCAGGCTGCCGAGAAGGAGCTGGGAGGGGACACAGGGCAAGGAAGAGAGAGGAAGGCCAAAAGCCAGAGCAGCCGGGCAGCCCCAGCTTCGGGGTAGCACAGCCTGGGCCGGGAGCAAGTTGCCTCGGGAGCCCTAATCCTCTCCCGCGAGCTCGCCAAGCGATCAGTGGCGCACGGCTGCAGCGAGGCTGAAATATGATAATCAGAACAGCTGCGCCGCGCGTCCCGCAGCCAATGGGCGCGGCGCTCGCCTGACGTCCCCGCGCGCTGCGTCAGACCAATGGCGATGGAGCTGAGTTGGAGCAGAGAAGTTTGAGTAAGAGATAAGGAAGAGAGGTGCCCGAGCCGCGCCGAGTCCGCCGCAGCCGCAGCGCCTCCGCTCCGCCAACTCCGTCGGTTTAAATTGGACTCCCTGATCGGCGAGGGCGCGGCGCCGCCGGGCAGCGGCTCTCTCAGCTTTGGCAACCCCAGGGGCCACTATTTCCCACTTAGCCACAGCTCCGGCATCCTCTCTGTGGGTTGTTCACCAACTGTACAACCACCATTTCACTGTGGACAGTACTCCCTCTTACAGATATGGGAGACATGGGAGATCCACCAAAAAGTAAGAGGCTATTTTACCTTGTGGGGCTCGATGTGGTGTTCTTGTGCGGGGGTCTCTCTCAGGCACGGGGGTCTCTCTCAGGCACTGGTGCCAAAGGCTCTTCGGAGTTGGAGTCATTGCCTGGAGAGAGAAAGGAAGAAGAGGTGGATTTTTGGTTTTTTTTTTTTGTTGTTGTTGTTGTTGTTGTTTTTCTCCTTGTTGCCGCCACGCCTGCATGCTTGCTGTTGGTTCTGATCTTCGGGAAACTGATCGTACCTTGTGTTTGAATTCGCCTGTGTAGTCTCCCAAATCCTAGCCTTGTGGTGCTGCGCGGTGATTTCCTCCTCGGGAATCCAGAGCTCTCGGAGAAGGTTATTATGTTGCAAAGGTCTGCCTGCACATACAATACCCGAAGATATGAATTAGCATTAGACTTGCAAAAGAGAACGAGTGACAACTGTATTGATGTCTGCTCTAGCTAACAATATTCAGTCCTGTGTGCTATTTAAGAAAGTGCTTCATGGAAAATATAGACATCCCTGCGTTCACTTAACGTTCTAGTCAAAACCTTTTCTTTGGCTTGACTTATCCATAATCTTTCCTAATGATTACAGCAAAATGGGAGGAGGGGAGAAAATACAAAATGAGCGGGTTAGGTTGCGTGCTAGGCTTACAAATGTAGACTATTCAAATCTGCATTTTACATATATTCCACCTCCTTTTAAAATTGAGTCAAGGTTTTGATGGCACACTTCAATTACCATCCCAAAGTGCAATACTCTTAAAAAAAAAAAGGAAAAGAAAAAATTCTCCCAGAGTACACCCTATAAGAGAACGACACTAAAAGTGTGTTTATCTCTGTAGGAAGTAAACGGTTAGTCAATCATGTATTTATTTTCATTTCAGAAAAACGACTGATTTCCCTATGTGTTGGTTGCGGCAATCAAATTCATGATCAGTATATTCTGAGGGTTTCTCCGGATTTGGAATGGCATGCGGCATGTTTGAAATGTGCGGAGTGTAATCAGTATTTGGACGAGAGCTGTACGTGCTTTGTTAGGGATGGGAAAACCTACTGTAAAAGAGATTATATCAGGTATGCCATTTATATTTCTTCCTTGGTTTTGTGAGGTTTCCCTACTCCTTATTTATTATTTGGTGTGGTTTTGTTTTTTTTTTGGGGAGGGAAGTTTGCCTTCGTGGGGTCCACCATGCAAAAGTCACCCTTGTAAGTGTGTGTGTGTGTGTGTGTGTGTGTGTGTGTGTGTTTAAATTAAAAATACTGTTCATTTTACTCCGGGGCGAGGGATGGGGGTTCCGTGAATTGTGTTGTAGTAAGGCTTGTTGATTACCCTTGGAATTTATGATGCCCAAATTATTTTCTTCTTTCATCCTCCTCCTTCCAAAACAAACAAAAAACTCGAAGATGGATAAGTTTGCCTTTCTAAACTTTAAAAGAAGATGTATTTTTTTCATAGAATAGTGCAATCTTTTGTTCATTTTAGTCCTCTTTTTTTAGTAACTTAAAAATTCTTTGAAGATATCAGTTAAATAAGACAAAAATAAAAGTTTGACTGAAGCAGGTTTAGAGATGCATTTTGAAAAGGCGAGTAGAAGTATTATTCCCTTTTACTTTTAGGATAAGAGCTTCTTTCTGGAAAAATTTAAATTAACTGAAATATTCCCTGCAAAAAGACCGGAAATTTAATCTTTTTAAATATTAACCCTTTGGTGACATCTGACTGTCTTTTCTTTCTTATCTTATCTGAGCTGATGAATTAGACAGAGCAGATCAAATTGCCCATCATCTGTCTAGGAACAATTGGTATATTTAGATAATTGAACAGCTTCCTTTCTCACATTAAAATCTAGTAACTGATAAAATGAGTGAATTGCCCATATTGACAAGACTAAAACCACATAAGAAATTTCTGAGTTTTGTTTTGTTGCTGTTGTTGTTTCAATTTACTTTGAGATTTTGCTAATCTCAAATGTTCTCTGACTTGTGCATATATATGTCAGAAACTTTGTTTTCTGCTTTAGGAAGCTAAAATTTTATTAGTTTTAATAATAAAAAGAAATATCACCTTCACTATGATGCCAGTGATAACAAAAATTATTTTTTTAGAAAACTTCTCCACTAGTTATTAACAAGTAATTAGCTTTTGTAAGACATAAAGTTATTGAGCTTGAGAACTTTTATTATAATTTAGTTAAGATTTAATACTCATTCACTGTTTTCACTTGCTCCCTATTTTTTCTCCCTATTTTTAAATCATGAAGTAGAGAGCATAATCTTGATTGATAAAACTGAGCAATGCAGGGGAATTTTTTTAATACTGTAGAGGAGAGAGGAAAGAAGTAAAGGCAGTACAGGAAGAGGGTATTGGAAGGGGGAGGGATTTTCTAAATTGTTTGGTCAGAGGCAAAGTAAAGTTTTCATCCTATAAAATGGAAGATCTCACACTGGATAGGCAAGGGGGGGAACACTTTTGAATCTGCCTTCTAACCTTGACAAGTCATTTTCATTGTTTACTTGATTGGTATGTGAACCCAGGATTCTGGAGAGGGAGAACCCAATTGGCACCTCCAGGAGCATCTTTACTCCTATGGAGATACTGTTTTCCTTGATTCTACACAAACATCCATGTGCTTAATTCTGGATACACACATTTGTAAAAGAACCCATTTTTTCTCCTTTTCTCCACTCTCTCAACTGTGTGTGTTTGCACATGCGTAACTCCCGCAAGAGCCCTTGGAAATCCTGTAGTTGTAAAAGCAGAACAGAGTGACCATTAGGATTTCCAAATCTCCTTTGGAGGAATGGAGGAAAAGTCTGGCCCCCTTTGTGTGGGCCTTTTCCTTTCTCTTCCATTTTCTCTGTAGGAATGGTCCAGCTTTGTTATTGCTGATAGAGGGAGAGGGGGACTAGGCAGTGCAGCCTAGAAGGAACCTATAAGAACTGTGGCCTGGTAAGGAAAGGCCAGCAAGGAAGAAGACTTTAGAAGTGAGTCTTTTCAGTTTTCAGGCTGGTCATGACTCAAGCAAACTGAAATAGAGGCAGAATGTTCTGCAACATTCAAATAATAAAAGGAAGAATGGAATCTTTCCATTAACATTGTAGCCTGCAGAAATTTTTGCTATGAAGCAGAGGATTGGGAAACCTTCAGAGGTTTTATTTTGATGTTCTGCTTGTGCTTTTGCATGTGTTCACAAATGAAGTGGGATGACAATACTATTCTCAAGCTTTAATTTGCTGTAGTTTCCGAGATATTTCTGGCAGCAGAAACTAAGGGATAAGAAATCGAAAGTGTGGGGCCACTGGCCACCGGGAGTCTTCTTGATTCCCCTCCTGTTAATATCTGTGAAGACAACCCTGGGACTGGTCACTAGAACATCAGTCCCACTAATAAATTTTCTTTGGTTTGGGCAGGGTGTCTGAACTAATGAGACAGAAAGGTTCATCAAAAAGGAAGTAAAAGAAAGGAAAGGTGGAAGGAGGAGAAAGGTAGAGGAAGCCTGGGAGAAAGAAAAGGAGAAGAGTCCTTTCTATCCTCCCATTCCAAGCTTCTGCTTAATAATACTGATTTTTTCAGGGCGTCTCAGCGCTTGCTGGGGTCGCTGGTGATATTGGGCCCAGGCAATGCCTGCCTGAAGTGACCCATTTTCCCTGTTCTTCTCTTCCTGTCCTGGCCGACCCCGTGCAGGTTATATGGGATCAAATGTGCAAAGTGCAGCATCGGCTTCAGCAAGAACGACTTCGTGATGCGTGCCCGGTCCAAGGTGTATCACATCGAGTGTTTCCGCTGCGTGGCCTGCAGCCGCCAGCTCATCCCCGGGGATGAGTTCGCGCTAAGGGAGGACGGACTCTTCTGCCGTGCCGACCACGATGTGGTGGAGAGGGCCAGCCTGGGCGCCGGCGACCCGCTCAGTCCCCTGCATCCGGCACGGCCGCTGCAAATGGCAGGTACTCTTGCCGCCTAGAGGGAGGCCTTACCAGGAGGCAGGCGCCAAGCTAAGTCAGCCCCTTCCCTGCCTACTTTCTACTGCCACAGCAACCCTGGTAGTCACAGGCTGGTTGTGAAGGTGGCCTGCAGCTAAATGAGGTGTCACATAGGCAGTTTGCTCTGCTCTTTTGCAGCAAGGCTCACACTCACTGTCTGCCTTGACTCCTGAAGCACTCATACACACCTGTGTCTTTATATGGGTACATATGAACATGCACCACTTGTGCACACATGTATGCACAAGCCCAAACAGTACTGTCAGTTTTACCTTGGCCTCCAAACCGTGGTTTACCGAAAACGGGCTTCAGCTCCCTGCCAGGTATTCTAGCTACTGCCTAATTAAAGGGGTGGAGTCCTAGGTCCTTGGTGTTTCCTCCTTAACCCAATAAAGGAAGCATAGGTGGCCTTAAATCATTTAACCTCCCAAATAATTTTTCCTTGAGACTCATTCCCCAATCCAAAACATTTTTAAATTTTAGTTTCTATCCTTTTGTATGATAATGGCCCCTGAAAAGATACAGGCTTAATAACTGCAGGCCACTGCACAGAGCTGTAATTTAAAACTGTCAGCAACCTAATCTGCAGTAATTGCCTTTTAAAAGGAGCCTGCCTCTTTAAACCATTCATTCAATGTGATTTGGTGAGAATTTCATCTTCAAGTCCATCCCTGTAGCTCTAAATTGACCCCATAGGTGTTGGCCTGACCCCAGGGATTCCTGGAAGGTGTAGGATTTGTACCATATAGATCACAGAGCGGCTCCTCATAAAGGAAAGTGGAAACAGAGCAAGGCTGGTCAGGATCAAGGCTGCACAGTGTTTCCTACCTGCCTTCTGGTCATGAATAGAGCAACAACACTCCCTCCTGTGTAGTTTGAAAATATAAGTTCCTATTAAATATTGGAGGTGAGGAAAGGGCAGCTCTTTCCCCGCCCCTGCCGCTCCCCTCCCCACCCCCCACTCTTTTCTGGCCACTCTAAGAATTCTGTCCTGGGGGATTTGTGACTAGCTTGCATGGGGGCAAAGCAAAGGGTGGGAAACACAGAGGAGTACAAAATATTGGGAAGGAGAAGAGGGATATTTCCCAGCAGTCGTTTATCTGGAGCCTAGACAGTTTAACAAAGTTTCAGTTTTCCTTTGCTTGAGGTCAACCCGTCTCAGGAACGTCCCAGGATGATTTAGTACTAAGAAAGACCAGGGACTGGAGAGATGGCCGAAATACAGAAATACAGACTTTCCTTAGACCCTTAATATGACTGTCTTCTGGGACTGAAGTTTAAGGATTTCTGGCAGAATTCTCTGCCTTCCCTTTCAGACACCCTGGCTGGTGTACTGTCTCTGGCTGTCACTGGGTGATCTGCATTTCCTTCCTTGGTACCCTCTGAGGCTTTAACCCTAGAGGAAACACTGAGCCTGGAGGTGGGGGTTACTTGGAATAATGTGGGCTGAGTCTGGTTGTGAGGAAAATCTAGGAAGGAGGAAAAGCAGTGGTGAAAAATGCCACCCTGGTGCCTTCTGGGACAACAACCCTGAGACCCTGAGAGTGCTTCTCTTGGCTAAGGCTCTGTTGACAGGAGCAGTGGTGGGACTGCATTTCCCGCCCAGATTACCCAACATTGACCTCTGTAGATTAGGAGTGAGATTTTATTTTCGCTTATACCCTCCTCACCCTCACCTCTGCCACCTCTGCTTTGTGTGTTGAGGCTGTAAAGTAGTAACCATTGTCAGGAGTGGAGAGGCGCCAGCGGGTGGGTGAGCAAGCTACCGCATGGCCCCAAGCTCACAGGCACCCCTTGCCGTGCAGCCGAGCCCATCTCCGCCAGGCAGCCGGCCCTGAGGCCTCACGTCCACAAACAGCCGGAGAAGACCACCCGTGTGAGGACTGTGCTGAACGAGAAGCAGCTGCACACCTTGCGGACCTGCTACGCCGCCAATCCTCGGCCGGACGCACTCATGAAGGAGCAACTGGTGGAGATGACAGGCCTCAGCCCCCGTGTGATTCGAGTGTGGTTTCAAAACAAGCGATGCAAAGACAAGAAGCGGAGCATCATGATGAAGCAGCTCCAGCAGCAGCAGCCCAATGACAAAACTGTGAGTGGCCCTGGAATCCAGCTAGGATGCAAAGGGAAGGGGGAAGGAGGTAGTATGTAAGGTGTGTTCTGGTACCCAGCCTGGCCCTGAGACATCAGGAACCCTGACAGGAAGACCCTGCCACCTCCACCCAAACCCAGGGTTTGGGGAGAGGCACCATGCCAGGAAGACTGAGGGGTAGGCAGTTTAAAGGGGACCCTAGCAAGGTGTGAGAGCAGCTGCCCGCATAGTTGTGCAGCATGGGTGGGCTCAGACTCTTCAACTTCACCATATCCTGGAACAGAAGGAAGCAGTCACCTCCTCCCAGGGCAGAGGATAACGAGGCTAGCCAGATTTTGCTAACATTGGGACAATCAGTTCCTCACATGCTGAAGAGAAAGGAGTGACAACACATTGGGGGCCTGTCTAGATCCAGAGTTGGAGTTTAGTGGATAAGTCATCCAGCCAGTCTCTTAGGTCTTATGCACCTCATGTAAGGCCAACCTCTGGGCATTCATTTGGGGAAGTCCTCCAAGGACCCGCACACAAACCTTCTGCTCCAGTCCCAGCCCAGGCCTCCACAGAGGCATCAGACCCCTTTTTTCCCACCCTTTTATTTATTTATTTATTTTACTGCTTTAACCCTATTTTTAAATGCCATAAAACTCACTGTCATTAAACTTGGTATGCCAGCCAAGACTGGGACAGGGTACTTTCTAGGTTGGTTATAGCATGATAATATAATAGCAGCCACACTCAAAAGCTTGGGAGTAGGGGCTGGCTCTGCAAGGAAAACTGCTTGGAAAAAATCTGCAGCTAATGCCCTGAAAATCACCATGGGAGGAGGCAGAAGGGAGCCCCAGTCTGCCTCAGTTTTCTGTTTATGGGAGGCCTTGGCCTTGGCCGTGAAGGTACAGGGAAGGAGTTGGGAATGAACTGCAAAGGTCAGGAGGAAGAGGGTAGTCATAGAAGAATTTGTTTTAATAAAGTCTAAGGAGACCTAATACTCCAGCTCACAGAAGTAGAAAAACAAAACTGAACTCTAGCTAATATCCATAGGTACAGCAGATTAACTTGAGTCAATAAGGGGCCACTATATAGATAAGATAATACTTAGGTATATTTGCTTAGCCTGTGCTGACAATGGAGGGAGGGAGTTTGCTCATTAACATGTTGTGGGGGGGTATTCACAGAATATCCAGGGGATGACAGGAACTCCCATGGTGGCTGCCAGTCCAGAGAGACATGACGGTGGCTTACAGGCGAACCCAGTTGAGGTACAAAGTTACCAACCACCTTGGAAAGTACTGAGTGACTTCGCCTTGCAGAGTGACATAGATCAGCCTGCTTTTCAGCAACTGGTAAGTGTCAACTCCCAGACTGAGAAGGGCTGAATTCCCAACAGAAATTGGATTCTGGTTTAACTTTCACACACTGAAAGATTAAGGGGGGAGGGTACCCCCTGACCCCAGACTGGGGGAGAGACCAAGGAAGTATGGTGGTATGGTGAGGAGAAGGGAGACAATCACAAAAAAAACAAATCTTCTTGTGAGTTTTTTGTTGTTTTTAATGAGACTGCATAATTTGACTTATGCAGGATGATTTTGTATCAATAAGGCATGCTTGCTGGGGTTAATAACTTCAAGGTGCCTAACTAGATGATATGTGTGCAAAGGTGCACAGGGCTTCAAAAATTATGCCCCTTAGGCTTCTGCTTTACGAACTTTAGAGATCACCTTGGCATTGGGATCAGCAATCAGTAAGTTTACTACCTTATCAGCATCTAGAGAATGGGATATTTCAGGCCCGAAATCAAAGTGATTATACAACATATCCACTACATAATGTTATCAATAAGCAGCAGACACCTGTCTGGGCTGTCACACTGATATCAATAAAGAGATTAATTATTCAAATAGTTGATTAATACCTTTGATACTATATCCCTTTCTGGAAATGTGTTAATCTAAAATGTAGGACTGCTTAAATATTTCTGAGTTCAAATATGATTCAGAAACATACTATGTGGTATGTGCAGCAAAAGGAACATGAGCTCTATCAATCAGATAGTACTTATTTAATCTGTGAAAGCCTGTTTTAGAATTAACATGTTCTATACATCCAGAGAAGAGAGTTAATTCACCTTTTGCCTACAAAGGGCTTAAAAGGTCAAAATAGACAAACATATTAAATCATACATTCTTTTTAATATGTCATATGTACTTATGTGGTTTTTTAAAGTGTAACTAGCCCTGTCAGTCCCTGTTTTATAAAATATTAAGCTAAAACTTGTCTTAAAAACTTTTTCTTCCTTTTGGAAATAAAGCTAATGCATTAGTTGAGGACATCTTTTACCCTCATGTTGTCCTAAGGCCTTTTGCTTTGTCAGTGTCAACAGTTAGGTAATTGGCCAGAGGGTAGTGGTTGAAAGGGCTTAGCCCCAGGCTTGTGTCTGTAAAAGGGCAAGTCTAGATGGTAGGCAAATTTAAGAAGTCCCTGGACTTCACCACAGGAAATTTTAATAGAGTAAATGGGAGATAGATTCTGGAATGGGGGAGGAATCTTATTTTAAAGTCATTAATCTGATGAGTTATTTGAGCAAAACTTGGACAATAGAAAGAAGGTAAGGGGAGGGTTTATGTGCAGCCAAGTGTCTTTGCCTGTTCTGCACCTTTAGTGTCAGATGAGAGACATGGAGGGGAGTCTGAGGCAGTGGAGAGCACGATTGCTGAAGGAAGTTTGCAACACTGATGCAGTGCTTTTTCAGTTAAAACAAGGAGTCATATATTATAATATGGTGATGTTATAATATACTGCTCTCCTCTGGGAAAGAAGAGCCTGATTTATTGAGAGAGGGAGAAGGGGAGAAAGAGAAAGAAAGGAAAAGGGAGAGTGAGACCAAGAGGCAGCAGGACCAACAATAAGGAAGAAGGCCAACACTGTGAGCCTCCTCAGGAGTTAATCATTGCTCCATGGACCCTCTGAATCTCCTATCATAGGATCTGAGCATGTAGTATGGATTTTCCAAGTCAAAAAGAGAGGCTTTGATACCTAGAGACAGAAAACTCGCTTGCTCCCAGGGCAACATGTAGCCAGCAGGATAATTTTATTTTGAGCATGCATGGTAGAGTTGTGATGCCATTTTACGGTGGGAAACACATTTGTTCTTAAATAATTTAATGCAACATAATGTTGGGAATTCAGTTTGAGTTAAAACAGCGATGTTTAGAAAGATGGGAAAGTGAGAGGATTTCTTCTCAATTTCTCCACAGGCTTTCCAATAAGCCTGTGAAAACTCTATTATATTGCTGATATCTTTACCTAATATCTATTTACAACAACATTTGTACAGACATACACAATATAACAAGTTTATATTTTTGTGACTCCTATGACAGCCTCCTTTATTTATTTCTTAACCTTCCATGCAGGTCAATTTTTCAGAAGGAGGACCAGGCTCTAATTCCACTGGCAGCGAAGTAGCATCGATGTCCTCTCAACTCCCAGACACACCTAACAGCATGGTAGCCAGTCCTATTGAGGCATGAGGAACATTCATTCATTCAGATGTATTTTTTTCCCTGTTGGAGAAAGTGGGAAATTATAATGTTGAACTCCGAAACAAAAGTATTTAACGACCCAGTCAATGAATGAAAACTGAATCAAGAAATGAATGCTCCATGAAATGCACGAAGTCTGTTTTAATGACAAGGTGATATGGTAGCAACACTGTGAAGACAATCATGGGATTTTACTAGAATTAAAACAAAACATAAAACCCAACATATGCTATTCAATGACCTTAGGAGTACTGAAAAAAAAAAAGGACGTTTTTAAAACGTAGAGGATTTATATTCAAGGATCTCAAAAAAAAAAGCATTTTCATTTCACTGCACATCTAGAGAAAAGCAGAAATAGAAAATTTTCTAGTCCATCCTAATCTGAATGGTGCTGTTTCTATATTGGTCATTGCCTTGCCAAACAGGAGCTCCAGCAAAGAGCAGGAAAAGAGACTGGCCCCGTGGCTGAAAGAGTTCTTTCAGGAAGGTGGAGCTGCATTGGTTTGTGATGTTTTTAGGTGACTTTAACAAGGGGTTAATTGACATCCTGAGTCTCTTAGCATGTCCTGTAGCTGGTTTCTTTTTTTACTTTTGCCCCTTCTCCCCATTTTTTTTTTTTTGAGATCCATCCTCTATCAAGAAGTCTGAAGCGACTTTAAAGGTTTTTGAATTCAGATTTAAAAACCAACTTATAAAGCATTGCAACAAGGTTACCTCTATTTTGCCACAAGCGTCTCGGGATTGTGTTTGACTTGTGTCTGTCCAAGAACTTTTCCCCCAAAGATGTGTATAGTTATTGGTTAAAATGACTGTTTCTCTTTCTGGAAATAAAGAGGAAAAAAGGAAACTTTTTTTTGTTTGCTCTTGCATTGCAAAAATTATAAAGTAATTTATTATTTATTGTCAGAAGACTTGCCACTTTTCATGTCATTTGACATTATTTTTTGTTTGCTGAAGTAAAAAAAAAAAGATAAAGGTTGTACCGTGGTCTTTGAATTATATGTCTAATTCTATGTGTTTTGTCTTTTTTTCTTAAATATTATGTGAAATCAAAGCGCCATATGTAGAATTATATCTTCAGGACTATTTCACTAATAAATGTTTGGCATAGATAAATAAATAAAAATAATGATTCAGGGTCCCTCTTTTATATATGTTTATTAACAAGCCTTTAAAATATCTGAATTTAAGGATTGCATGTGAATTGGAGTAAACTGACATACTGTAGGTGTGATATTGTATTGCAAGTAGGTAAGGTCCAGTTTGCAAGTTTGGATTTCGATAGTTGGATCAAAGTTGGTTGGAAGGAAACCCTTAGCTCTCAGTTGTGATAATGTTACAGGTTTTGTGAAAATGAGATACTCTCCTCGGCTCTGCTCCCTACCCTTCTCTCTTTCTCTTTCTCTCTCTCTCTGTCTTTCTCTCTCTCCCCCTCTTTCCCTCCTCCCTCCCCCCCCATCCCATCCACCCACCCATCCTCAAAAGGAAGAGGATCCTGCTTCAGATGGCTTTTGACTGGAGTAACTATTTTATTTTCTTAGACTGAAGTGCTTTATACCGAAGTCTCCTGCACAGGATTGTTGAAATGACCAATATTTCAAATACAAGCTCTTGCTAAAGGAGAGACTTTCTGCTTAGCCCAGGAGAGATGACCATTATTTACTAGTGGCTTTGGCTTGAGAAATATTGCTTTATTTGCGCAGAAGGAAAAGGCTAAGACAGGAGTTTTCTCAGCAATTCCCAGACCAGTGAGTGTCTGCATTTTTTGGCCTCTTCCCCTTCTTGTCCCTCATCACCTCTTCTTTCCCGAGTCTAATTTCAATCCTTTGAGAAGGGTGATTGGCTCCGGGAAGAAACGCGGCTTGTATTCTATTGGGGAGCAGTCTTTTATGGAGTGGGGGACCAGGTCGTCTGCTTTGCAGGCCCCCGAGGGCAAAGGGAGTTAGTTAGATGGGCTTGCTCTGTGGGACAGACATCTCCCCCACCCGCCACCACCGCATTTAGCAGCAGTTCATTATGAGAGCCAGAACCCAGGGATAGATTGATACATGACACTGCCCCAAATTGGGCTTCTTAGTTAGCGGGCTTAGTGAGGACTGGGGCTGCGCTCTGTTCCCTCTTCTCCTCCCTCCCTCCGCTCCCCATGCCTGGATGGGTCTTGGACTCTGAAAGCAGGGTTCATTTGTATGCGCGAGTGTAATACCGTTTTCGATATATGACAATTTAATAAATACGAAAGCTAAAGTACCTTAATCGTGTGTCTTATGGCGTGTTACCCCTCGGGGTTCTGGCGAGGAGCAAGGAGGAGGCCAGGATGGAGACTGGCGAGCCCCACAGCCCCAGTTCTCAAGTCGCTTTCACCCTCTACAGACCTGCCACAAGTCGGGAAGCGAGCCTCAATTAGGCTTTTGTTTGGCATCGTTCTACATAACGGGTTAATTACAGGCTCTAACGTGAGGGCAGAGAGAAAACAAACTTTGCATTGAAAATGTTACAGTGCATTAGACATGCCCGTTGATTACTTTGATTGTTGTGTCTAATTCTTGACAGAGGGGTAATAATTTGGCCCGCGGTAATAATGGCTTGTGGTTCTCTGTTGAGAAAAACAAGAGTTATGTCTTATCTTACACGGATCTTCTCCCGGGAAAGGTTTTTTTTTTCTTCTTTCTTTCTTTCTTTTTTTTTGGTCTTTTTTCCCCCTTCTCTCTTTCTGTCTCCCTTTAATCTCATGTTACCGGACTTGACTCTTTTAGCTTCTTTAGCTATATCTATTGGTCTGCTTTTTCAGTTTTCCTTGTTCTCCCCAGATAGCTGGAATGACTAACTAGTAAGCATGTGCAAAGATGGCAGATACAACGCGACTATAGAACACTTGCAAAGTTACTGATCACCCAAGCCCCAAAGTGAAAACCATTAACCGACACTTCTCCAGCTACAGCCTCTGGTGGACTCTTGAGAATGTTAGGACTGAGAAAAGGAAGAAAACTTGATTTAGACTCTGCAAACAATGGAGGATCTTAAGTAAGGGACACGTTTTTGTGATCCATTTTCCCTGGCATTGACTTCTAAGATTGAACTTACATGTATATGTGATGTGTGCCTGATGTTGTACATATATAGATGTTAGTCTGTTCTGAAGTCCACAGTTTGACTTTAAGCAAAGCAGTTTTGGAGGGGGTGATGAATGATTTTTATCTCACTTGCTAGAATCAAGGTATTTGTTGCCTGATGGCTGAGAATAGATTGATGGGTTGTTAGCATTCTAAGTCTTGTATAATTCATATGCAGGGTGTGTCTTCTCCTTCTATACTCCTCAGCATGTGCTCTAAATGTGTAGTTGAAACGTCTTCTTGTTTGCAAATCATCTCTTGCATGTCATCTCTCCTCTCTCTGCACACCTCTGGTGACTGAGTTTTGAGCTCTGCTCTTCTAATGAAATTCCTCCTGTTTGTTATTATCTGTGTTCCTCCCTCCCTTATTACTCTGAATCCTTCCTTCTCCACTTTATGACTCATTTCCTCCAGCTTCTGCAAGCTAAAATTTAATGCAACTAAAAGCTACCATTAAATGAGGGAATCCATATCAGTATCTATAAAGATAGGATTTTTTTCCCATATAATTGAAGAGCAGTATCACCTCTATTCACTCTATTCTCTTTTTCCTTTTCATTAGAAGCACTGTTTTTTTTTTCAATTACCATTAAAAGGGTCCCTTTTTAAGTTAAAGTCATATTCAAAGACTTTCTTTTTCTCCATTGAGTTAATGCTTCTGGTTATTTGTGATCCTGTATGGGTGTGTGTATTCCAGTTGCCCAGTGACAACTTTTTTTTGAAGTTCAAGATTAAATAAATGACTTTGTGATGCTCTGCTGCTATTCACCCTGATCAACTTGTTAAACTCATCTTGTTGACCTCTTTTCTGGTCTGTCTTACTCTTTGACTATCAGTCAAAAGTCAATGTGCTTTCAAGTTACCTTAGAAGCACTTTGTATTTCCTTAACATGGTGAATTTATAAGCCACAAACAAGATCGATCTCATTGAAATATAACTGTTGTAAATCCCATGTGGATTTACTTAGCTTTTTCCTTTTTCTTAAAAAAAAAAAAAAGTAAAAAAGTTTACAATCCAGTCCAAACCTCACAAAGAGCTGTTTGTATGACATCCAGCCACTTTGGACTTTTAATCTCATCCTTAACACAAGTAAACTAAGCAGAAAGTATATATTTTCTTATTTACAAAGTTCAGTTTAGTCAACTTTTGCAAAAGAGATTTATAATCCAAATTAGATTTGAGTTCTATTGATTAAGGACTATTTACTTCCCCTCTGCTAATCCACAATTAAAGATTATGTCACAACAGGGCAAGTCAAGTTTTCTTTGGGGATGCTGAAAGAACAAGGGATTGTTTTTTGTACCTTTATTTAAAAAGTATTACTTTAGATGAACATTGACAAAAAAAAAAAGTGTTACTTTAGAAACTGGCTCCAAATCTTGAATTCTTGTTACCATTTGAAATAAAAGCAAGTAACTTGTACAGTGTGAGTTTGTGTTTTTAAACGAAAAGTAGTTAATTCAAGGCTTGCTGCCGATTCTGTTTACTGATCTTTTCTTACTGTTGTTTTCTTGATAACTAACCAAGCCACTGAATGGCTGTTTGAGCTAAGGCGCCACAAACATAAACTTCACAGCTTACAATGTCCCAAGCCGTGATGGAGGATCTCTCCACACCTCCCGGAGACTTCTGAAGTGTAGACAGAGAAGTTGGTTCACAAGCAGCTGAGGAGGGGGAGGGGCAGCAGAGATGGCTGCTGTTTGCTCTGAGCATTGAAACTATCACATCCTTTAATTTTTGATGCTTAAGCTATTAGCTCGGAAAAGCTAGTTTCTGAGCTCTGAGGAAGCCAGAGTTTTCTCTGAGCTCTGAGGAACTTCATTTAAGACTCCTTGATTCTATTAAAAATCACTTCGACAGTTTTTTTCTGTGTAATTACACTTTTGCAAAAGCGCCCGGCATTGATAAGAAAATGGGTTCTAAAGATAAATTACTATTTTTTGCTTCCAAAATGGGGATGCCAGATTTGGGAGCTAGATGTGGATTAAGCTTTGCTTCTGGTCAGGTGGGATGGAAAGCACATTGTTCAGCCCTTTATGAGAACTACAATGAGGAAAATTCCGCTTAGCTGACTATTTCTCGCCTAGGATTCCTTTTTTGCATTTTTATTGATCAAGAGTTCGCGTCTATTTTGGAATGGTCTTATCTGTGAATTTGACTGAGTGGGCTAGTTATTTTTGCGCGTGGCCATAATGACTTTCCCACCGGGTCCCGTGTCGGGGGAGGGGGCTGGCAGCGTCGGTCTGCACTCAGGTTATGGGGAGGGTGCTGGGACAGCGGGGTCCTCACACTGGTCTAACCAGCCCTGCCACTCCCGCAGGCTACTCAGCCCTTGATCTTTTAAAGGAAGGACAATCGTCGTGGTCCCGGAGAGGAAAAGGGGGTGTTTCTGGGTCCTTCTCTTTCAGGAGTTGATCAGGTTGGCAGATCTGGAGGGCTAATCCAAACAAGGCGTTTGACTTGTGAGGTCGCGAGTCTAGACAGAGCTGGTGGCTCGGCGGCTCCTTATCTGCGCCTGGGATCAGCAGAAGAGGCGCTCCCTGGCCCACTGCACTCTGCTCGCCCGGCCCGGGAGCCACCGCTCGGCGCAGACTGCACAACAAACACAGCACCTGAGACTTTACAGCTCACTTTATTGTTTAATGGAGAATGCTGCAGAACATTCATTTGTCTTTTCAGTCGGCTTTGTGGCCACAAGCGCTAGCTAGGGTGTGCGCGGGC